GTGTCCTTTGAGACTGCATTCTTGGTCTTCCTGACTTGGGCTTCCTGAGTCTCACCCTTCCCTTCTGCCCTCTCCCCAGTGCTGTAGACACACGGCTGCTCCACTGCCTGCCCGTGGCACTGTTACCCTGGGCCTCCGTCTCCCCACACCCTTAGAGTCCCTGGAGGCAAGGGTTCATGACTTCCACAGACCTGAGGGCGGCCTGACGGCAGCAGGCAATAAGTATTTGTTGAATGAAAAAAAATAGCAAAGGAAGAAGAAAAGAACTAGGCTCCTTGTCCCCAAATCCTGCCCAGTAAAGACAGCCTGGTACTCAGGGTAACAAAGAAGCCCAGCCCTAGCATGGCGCCATGCCCAGGCCTCTAGGACCTCGTGCTCGATGGGAGGCAGTCTAGGGGCAATCCTGAGCATTGGTGAGTTCTTTAAAACCCTCCGCAGTGATCTGGAGTCTGTGTGTTGCTGAGGGTCACAGACATGAGAGCAAAGCGCTCACGGCCTGCAGAAAGCCAGTGCCTGACCTGCGGGTGCTCGCCCGCCGGCTGCCATCGTGCTACTGGACAAGACGTCAGGGTCCCTGGCTCTCTGCCGGGGCCTCCTGCCTCCAAGCAGTACCTGGACTCCAGCACACATCCTCAGGGCCAAGCAAGAAGGCCACGACCCACTTAGGGGCCAGGCCGGGCCTGGCTTGCTCTTAATCTAAGGATGCGGCTCCAAAACTCCAAACCCTTCAGAGCTGGACTGCGACCTCGCCTCCAGACAGAGCCCGAGCCACTGGAGACAAACGGCCTGTCTATCTTCCAGGTCCAGCCTCCCCAGGAGCCACTCCTCAGCCTCAGCGTTCACCCTTCCTATCTCCCAGGGAGGCCGGGCTTGCTCAGCCAGAGCTGGAGCTCCTGCAATGGCTTCTGGGCCACAGTCCCTCACCTCTTGTCATGGTCCAGCGGGGGCAGCAGCTCCTGGGCCTCTTCCTGCTCCTGCTGCTCCTGCTGCTCCCGCTGGTCACGTGGCACGTGGCTCAGGACCAGGCCACAGGTGAAGGCCAGAAGCAGGCAGCATCCCAGCACAAGTCCCTGTCCATGGGAGCCCATCTTCCTGCTGACCCTGGTGGGAAGAGACACATGGGGACAGCACCAGGTTAGGAAGGCGCTCCACAAAAGGAGAGCCCGGAAACCTGAGGCTCCCCAGCCCCACGTCACCAGGAACACTGTGCTCCTCTGGGCAGGTGCACACACACACACACACACACACACACACACACACACACAC